ATAGTTCAGTTTTCAGGGCATTGAGTCTAAGTCCATAGATCATAAAAAATCTCTAAAGTGCTCAGGACTCCCATTAAAACATCAAGAGAACCATGGCAGAATACCAGCAAATCATCCGCAAAACATAGATGGGTAAGGGAGATTCTCTTACACTTAGGATGATATTTGAAAACTCCTCTTTTAGCAGCAGCATCCAACAAGGAAGAGAGAACATTCATTACCATGACAAAGAGGTAAGTTGATAGTGGATCTCCTTGCCTAACCCCTCTAGCACCCTTAAAGTACCCCACCAAGCTTCCATTTAAAGAAACTGAGTACTTTGGAGTAGTTACACAAGACCTTATCCAACCACATAAGTTATCAGGGAGACCCATAGCTTCAAGGACAACCAACAAGAAATCCTAGTTTATAGAATCAAAAGCTTTTTGCAAATCAATCTTAATAGCACACCTAGGTGAAAGACTTTTCTAGAATAGCCTTTAACTATCTCCTGAGCAAGTAGTGTATTGGCAACTATATTTCTACCTTTAATGAAAGTGTCTGACTGGCAGAGATCATACCAGGAAATATTTGAGATAGTTTAGTGGTAATAATTCTGATAATGGTTTTATAAACCACAGAGCAGTAGGAGATTGACCTGAAGTCCTTTGCCATACATGCATTTAATGACTTAGGAACTAGGACTATGGTAGTGGCATTAAAAGCAGGAAGTAAGGAGGAAGATTGGAAGAAGTACCTTACTGCAGCTAGGAAATCACTTCCAACCACATCTTATGCAGCCTTGAAGAACCAAAAAGTGTATCTATTAGGACCATGGCTTTTTTCATTTCCTTGCCTAAACAAAACTTCTTTGATTTCTTTATCATCAACCTCTTTTGTAAGCATTTCACCAGCACCTTCATGCAAGGAACAGTTTAGTAAATCTTTCAAGCACTCCACATAACATCCCTTTACTAGAGGATCAGCAGTACCAATGAGATTAGTGAAAAAATTCACTAACTCAGTAGCCATGTCATCAAAAGATTCAAAGTGCTGCCCATTTTCACCTTTTAAAACTTCTTTTTTATTGGATTCAACCCTCTGGTGAAAAATCTAGTATTTAGGTCTCCCTCTTTTAACCAATGCACCTTGGCCTTTTGCCTATAAAACTCAGATTCTATAACTTTCAGGTCCACCAGCTTTGCATAAATGCTCTTGGCCTCATCTATTCTCCTTTTATCTATATTGGCTAAGATTGTATATTTGAATCTTTTTAAGCCCAGCCTTTTTACTAAGAACTATGCTAGAGATGTCTGAAAAATGTTCCTTATTAAGCTCTTTCAACCTAGGCTTAAGCCTTTTCAGCTTTATGAACAGGTAATGCATAGGGCTTCCTTCACAATGCTCTAGCCAAGAGTCTGAAAATTCTCAAAAAATTCCTATTTGGAGACCAACAGTTGAAAATTTTAAAAGGCTTAGGTCTCCTAGCCAAAACATAATTCTGAGTCCATACAACACAAAGGCAGTGATTAGAGACTCCTTGTGCCTTAAATTCAACAAATGAGTCAGAGAAATCAAGCATCTATTGAGCATTAATTAAACCCTATCCAATTTGCAAGGCAAATAACCACCTTCCTGCCTATTAGGCCAAGTAAAAATAGGCCCAAGGAAATGGTGATCCATAAGATCCAAGTCCTCTAAGCAGCCTTGAAGATCCTCCATATCAGAAGAGCTATGCATACCCAAAAGTTCAAAATCAGAACTTTCATATGCTCTAACTCTAACATTGAAATCACCACCAATCAATCAAGAAGAAGGACCAGCCTCACCTTCCAAATCTTTTAAAATTTTCCACATCCCTCTCCTAGTCAAACTACTATTACTGCCATAGACAACAATGATCACTGTCCTATGACCATTTATAGTTCCTACAATAGTGAGAGCTTGATCACTACCCCTCAAGATAGTAAAATCCAGCTGCTTCTTCCACAAAATCCATATCCTACCCCCATCAGCAAAATCATAATTAGTAACTAAGTTCCAGTCAACAGAAAAAGATGTATAGAGTTTAGTAGAGTTAACTCTTCTAATTCGAGTTTCCATGAGATATACTACATCAACTTCTAGATTTACCAACCTCCTTAGCACCTTTTACTGTTTAAGAGGGTTATTAATCCTTCTTACATTCCAAAAGCTAACTATCAACAGATTGGGGCAAGGGTTGCACCACTACCAACTCCCACATTCACACTGCCTTTGGCTTTATCAACATGATCCTTCTTTTTTTCTTTGATTTCATTAAGTAACACAACAACCCCTCCTGCCAAAGCTTCTAATTTACTAGAAGAGCCAACATTGTCTTTTTTCATTCCTATAGCCTTCTTCTTTTAGACCATGGAATCCTGTAAAGAAGGGAAATCCCCACCAGAGCTGGCATCCTCCTGTAGTACTTTTAAAACAACTTCCTCTACTATGGTAGAATTGATGTTTCCATCAAAACTAACTCCCTTTTGTTCTTCAGCAATAACAACCATTCCCTTGCTAGAGTCTTGCATAGAATCCCCAACAATAATAGCTCACTGTACAATAATAACAATATCCTCTTGCAAGGCTAATACAATGATCTCCTCAGCAATGCCAACATGTACCCCTGAATTCATCTTTTCCTCACCATTAGGATTGCTGACATTACCTAAAGAGCTTGTTAAGTAGTTAGATTCCTCATAGGAAGCATTAACATTCACATTCAAGCTCAGTTGAACTAATGGTCTCCTTTTTCCTCCAAATCTGAACCTCTTTACTTTTCAAATGAGCCTTCTGAACCTCAACACACCTGTTAACTTGTTGCCCAAAAGTTTTACATTTTACACAGTACTTTGGCAACCAAGGTACATACACTTTAACTCTCACCATGGATCCATCCTTTAAAGCTACATGGATCTCATCAGGAAGCTCAGTACCAGCTTCAATTTCCACACACACTTTAGCAAATTCAAGTCTCTCTTTAGAAGCAATGATTAAATCCATGTACAGAGGATTCCCTAAAGCACTAGCAATGTAACTAAGTCCTCTTTTAGAATAAAGTTCCAGAGGAACATTGTATAGTTACACCCAGACTGGCATGTAAGATAAATCGAAATCCAGCTTATGAATACAAGGTTCCCATTTTCTCAGCACCAGAGGCTTATTCTGGACATGCCAAGGTCCATTCTCAAGCACCCAATCTCTCAATAAAGCATTCAAAAATGAGAAAACATAAAGATTGGATCCAGCTAAACTAACTCTAACTGGTGAGGATTTCCCCCAAAGCGATCCAATAATCCACTGTATCGAATCAAAATTCGGTGCAACACCGATGAACTGACCCACAACCGCATAATTCCACTTGGCAATCCCTTCCTCAATCACCGTCAGTGGAGGTTTAACAGTAGCAACACCATCCATAATCTCCGGGGGGAAGAAATCAAGGGATTGTTCTTCCGCTCCCGCAAAGAGTTTCCTCCAATCAAGCTTCGATGCCTTCAAATCCATACAATTAACCGAAAAACCAACCAGAAAACCCCAAAATTAACAACGAAGAAGAAGAGCTGAGAACGCATTAGTCCTGCTAACGTGCGCCCAGAGAGATTTCATCGTGTTTCCTTAAAAAAGTTACAAATTATGCGTAAATAGTATAAAGTAAGATTTAAGAAATCGATTACAACTTTGCATATAAAAGTTTTGCTGCATGATTGAAGTGCAATGATTTGAAACTTAAATGCAACTGTATGTAAGGTAAGTCAGGACAATATTACAAGTTTTAAAGAAGACAAATAGTGATATTTACAGATGATCTTGAAGTAGAATTATTTATGAAACATGAATTTCGGTAGGTTAATATTTATTAAAATATTAATGAATAACCAACAACCGAATGCACTAAATTTCTTAAGTAAGATTAAGGATTCGAATCGTGACGTTTGCGAATGGAGCAAAATGGGTTGGGAATGTGGATCTCACCTCTACAGTACCCGATCTAGATTAATCAGTTAATAGATTAGATACCAATGATTAATTCAAAATATTAATGAATAATCGGTCGACGGAATCAATTTAGATGATTTTTTTCCTGTTATGAGGTCTGCTTGATTATTTCTTTTAAAGTTACATTTTTTAAATATTTCATAATGAATTTCCTTGTTTGTTTTAAGATGTATAGTGATACGTTGTATTATTAGAATAAAAAAGGGGGTTTGAGAAAGCAAAGTTTCCAACAATTTGGTAATGAAAACTAAAATTCAATATGTTTGGCTCATGCATGACAACACTACCTAAAACTTGAATGTAAGAGAAAAATCAACCATTCGTATTAGTGGATCGAGAGATATTTTTCAGGATGAACATATATGTATAAATAACATAAATTTTTCGTATAAGATGGGTACAAATAAAATTTCATGGTGTACACTTCAACAAAATTAACAATTAGTATAAAGATTTGGATTTCATATGAGCACATATCTAACTCTAAAGAAAACATACATTCGCCACTGTTCACGTATGTTTTTAGTTTAGATGCATTGTCTGCTTCCTATGAGCAAATGTCTGATACATAATCCATTGAACCAAAAAACCAAACTCTTTCACATGGAAACGCCTGTCTGATATTTCCATGCATTAGGACAAATAACTAAACTATGATTTTCACTTTTCCTACTAATAAAATTTGTTTTCTATTGCATTGTAGATGACTTCGGTTAAACAAATAATAACTAACACAGAGACTTCAAATATATATTACATAACATCGTATATTCATATTATTTTTTATATCATATTTTATATGATATCTTAATTACTTTTTGATATTGTTTTATATTAAAATTCAACAGTCCAAGTAGTTTCTTGTCATCCACGTTTTTTCTTCCCAAAAACCAGTATTTAGTAGCTTCTGTTCCTCTCCACCCTTCCATATCTAACTGTTGAAGCTTCCATATCTAAATTCCCTGAAATGGAAAACACAAACACTTTCATCTTCAGAAATGAAGATCAGAAATGAAGATCAACAGATTGAATTGCCTCCAGGATTTCGATTCCACCCAACAAATGAAGAGTTAATAACTCATTATCTTTCCAGGAAAGTTGTTAACTCCGAATTCAACGCTATAGCCACTGCTGAAGCCGACTTAAACAAGTGTGAGCCTTGGGATTTGCCTTGTAAGTAATCCATCCTCAGTTTTACCAACTAAGTTTACGATTTCCCAGAATTTAATCTGAGTTTTTTAATGAAGGGAAAGCAAAAATGGGTGAAAAGGAATGGTGTTTTTTTCTGCGAGAGAGAGAGGAAATACCCCACTGGTTTGAGAACAAACAGGGCAACGGGAAATACCAACTCTTATTTTCTCTGTGTCCTTGTTTTAGTAATATATATATAAATATATATATACACACATACACGTACATGGCTAGATATGTAAATTACTAAAACCCAAATAACCGGTCTATGATAAGGGAAATATTATTTTCTCTTAATGATATGAGTTTGAATAATTTTATTTATTTATTTTTATTAATATGAGGCAAGTACAAGGTAGTATTTGTTCAAAAATAACTCTCAATCATTTGACATTGAACGCTCGTATCCCTTACATTCCTGGTGTTCGAACCCGAGACCTCAAAGAATGTGAATAATTTTATTTATAAATGTGAATGAATTTTATTTATATTTGTAATCAGACACAATTTTATTTATATTAAAATCTTTAAAAAGATATGCATATAACTAATAATGCATAAGAAAATAATAAAATAATTCTCTAAAATATCAAAAGGTTGAAATTTTAGACTATTTTACTTTTTATTATTTTTTACAAATTATATTTGATTATTAGATTTATTTTTTTATTTATGTTCGAGATTTGGATGTAAATATATAATGAGTTTATTTTGGATTTTAATAATAATTGGTATTTTATTTGGGCTTGGGCTTGTATTAATGTAATTTGGTTTGGGTATGGGAGTAAAATGAAATATGAGTTTGGATTAATTTTGGACCACGGGGATTGGGTGTTTAAGTTTAATAATATTCAAAATTTAATAATAAAAAGTTCGATGAACTACATATTTACTACCTATACTATCAGTTTTATTTCGTTTTAGTACCTAAATTTTAATTTGTTTCAAAATAATACTTAAAGTTTATTTTTTGTTTCATTTTGGGAACTATTATAATATGACACTTTTTATGGGTAAATAACATTATTCATTACTCAACTATCTTCTCACTGTAAAATAAAAATTGATTAAAGATAAAAAATTTATTAAGAGAGGAGAGAGCACGGTAACGACTGGGTTCTCTGAGGAGAAGGCTGGAGAGACAAAATGAGTCGGTGGTGATAACTTCGGCGTGACGGCAGAAGCAAAGACTGGCACAACGAAAGCAACGGTGGTGAATACCTCTAAAGAAGTTATTAAAACTTCTCAAGATGGTGATTGGACTTTGTTCATTGATAACCTAAGTAAGCGAGTATCAAGATCAACGTTGAAGGAGTTGCTGAGCCATTATGGTAAGGTTCAAAGAGTCTACATCCCTATGATAAACAAAAGAGTTAGATATCATGATTCTACCATTGCTTTTGTATCCGTTGTGAGTCGAGAGGTAATGGGGAAAGTGATTTCCATATGGGATTGTGGACACTAATTTTCGTCCATATAACATTATATATATATATTAAATTTTATTTAAAATAACACATGTTTTTACAGGGCCAGCGGTTACAAGGAAACCCACAACTAGTGGCCCAACAGTGGCCCGTTTCAAGACCCGCAGCCTGGATCCAGTAAACCAGCGACCCGCGAACCGCACCACTAGAGCCCCATGACCCGGTTTGAAACCCTAGAGCCAATTATGGTTTCAAACTTTCCTCCACAAGCGTCGTATGCCCCATTTCCTCCTCTGCACTACTTTTCACGGCAGCACACCCCAACGACTGGGTTTCTCGGCAACCATCAACGTCACGCAAGGAAAACAAAGCCACAAAAACACCACCAAATCAGGAGTTGCAGTTCGATTAGGACTCAAACACTAGAGTTAAAAATAAGAATTTTTTTCACTATAAATATTCATGTAATCGAACCCACAAAGGACACAGAGGATAGATAAGAGTATTACACACGAAAATACAAAAACAAATATGCAAGATCCGAGCACTTGTAGCGTTCGAATACAAGAGAGAAATAAAGAAATGTTGCATTTTTACCTTTGTTTCGGTTATTCTCGCATACATGTGATTTTTTTACTTGTAACCAAAAATTTTGAGATTTCTTTTTTAGATTTACACTTCCCCGAAGAGTTTTTGAAAAAAACAAAGGTGATATTTGAAGAGAGGGAAGGAAAATCTTTGAGAAAAATGCAAAATTTTTTGCTTTTGCCGCCGATGACCGGCGATCGACGCCGATCAACAGAGGCCGGCGAGGCAGCAAAATGGCTGGAATCTAGAAAACACGGTGGTATTCATCGTGTTCTTGAAGAACACATGAACACCGAGAGAGAGTTTAAGGGGAATGAGTTTTGATTTTGGGTGAAAATGAAAATAAATGAAGGGGGTTTTAATTTTGATATTTGTAGTCGACCCACGGACCGACCCACAACCCGACCCGAGCCATAAGTTATCCGCGTGTTTCTGTGCTCAAAGGGGGGAAATTGTAATTTTGGTCCCCCCGTTTTTTAAAGCCTTATGTCGACCCAAGATTCGATTTTCACATTAATATTCCTTCTAATTTGGCCCCTTAATTTTGATTTTCTTCTAATTTAACCCCTATTATTAATTATTATTATATATATATTTTCATATAATATATATATATATATATATTTTATATTTTTTTAGTGTTTTTATTCTTTTTTACTATTTATCTCTTTGTTTTTTAAATCTTATATTATATATATATATTACATGGGGGCCCCTCTTTTTGTTTTGTTTCTTAGCAAAGTTCTCCCACTTTCGGTGAAGTGATGGAGGTAGTTCTTTAATATTTATTATGTATATATATATATATATATTATATTTGTTTTATTAATATTTTGATGACTATATATATATATATATATATATATTATTTCTTTATTATTATTTTTTTCTTATCTGATTTATTTTATTTATTTTTTCTTCTCTTTATTTTAATTTTTATTTTTATTTTATTTTCTTTATCTTCGTTTCATTTATTCATATTTATTTATTTATTATTTTTTTCTTTTTCTTTTTTTCTTTTTATTCCTTTTTATTTTCTTTATCTTTTTCTCTTCATGTTATTTTCTTTGTTTTTCTCTATTTTATTTATTTTCATTTTTTCTCTAACACGTTTCTTGACTTTGTAAGGGTACACTTTTAAAACTATCAAAGGTAAGCAATTTGAATCGGATTTTTAAATTTTAATTTTCGTAATTAAAGACAACCGGTAAATTAATTGGTACCGAAAGGGCGGTTCAAGGGTGCTAATCCTTCATTGACCGTAACCAACTCCCGAAACCGACACATTTCTGATAAAACACAAACCAGGTAAGATGGTGTCCGATCTACCTAAATGTTTTTAAAATGGTCGGTGGCGACTATAACCCAATCAATTCAAGTCGAAGCCCAATTTCGGGGCCCAACCGAAAGATGACAGCGACATCTTGGCGACTTCGTTGGGGACAAGTAAGTGAGTCAGGCTAGAATTAATTTTCGGTTGTCTTTTTATACGAAAATAATAAATTTAAATTTAAATTTATTTATTCGATTACAATTATTTACCTTTGACTATTTTTCAAATAAATAGTTGTACTGACATTTTTTTCAATGATTTCAGATTTTTTAAAATTTTCATCTCAAGCTCTATACCTGAGCTCCGAATCCTTTTAAGTGGGGGCGAAAGGGACACCTTCGTGAGAATTTATTCTCCGCACATGCCTAGCAAGTAATCTTTGGGATTCATATACCTTATGTCTTCGTGTGAATTTATTCACCGCATAGGCATAAGGGAATGTATCCTCTTGAGTTTAACTTAGTCCACTTAAGCTTGTAATGGGCTTCAGACTAATGGTCTGGAAAGCCCAAGGGGGCACCAGCAAGGAGAACTCATGTACCTTTTTCTTTAAAACCTAAATCGGGAGACTGCAGGGAATTAGAGCCCACCCTAAAACCTCATTTCAAACCCTAGGCTGCTTTGATATTATTTCCTGCTTTTCTGTTCAAAGCATGTGAGCTAGAAATTTATGCGGTTATAATTTGTTCAAAATCAACTTGCGGGATAGAGATCGTGTCCGGGTAGGAATAATAAGCATGTAGGGTAGATATCATGTGGGGTAGGACTTTTATTTTCATGACTGTTTTGATTATTTTTTACCTTACTAGCTTTTTTTCGTTTTTCTTCTCTTTTATTTTATTTTCATCATTTGCATCATTCGAAAGAGGTGTTGATCCACAAAAAATGTGTTCTTTAAATGTAAATAATTTGCATTAATAGACAAAGGGGTTATAATACAAGAGGTGAAAAACACAAAAGTCCGGTTTAGAATGGTCCGAGATTTACGCCGAGCATACCAAAAGGCAACTTTTTGAGTTGACAAAATTTGCAGGGGTAGACAAGAAAAAGGTTACTGACTTGGAGAATCCCTTCAAAGAAAACAAGAACAAGATGGCGAAACCCTAGTTAAGCTGGAGACCATTTTTTGACGAATTCAAGAAACAAGCAGATAAACTTCGGATATTTCTTATCGATGAATGGCTCTAATGGTGCTGTCGTTAGGAACAAACTCAGCAGAGAGTGAAAGCTGGAGATGCAATCATCCTAGATTTTTTGGAACAAGCAGCTCGTCATTTGTGCGGTTTAGCCAGAGAAGCTAGAGCGGTTCGAAACCGGTGACAAAAAAGGCAGAAGATGAATCAGCTTGTCAGAAGCTGTTCGGGGTCTATACCTTTAAAATGTTTTCTGTCTCCTAAGACGTAACACTTTTGTCCCCAATAAGGATTATTTATAATAACAGACACATTTTTTGGATTAATGCCTCAAACATTGCATACATTATGCATTTAAACATATTTTGCATTTTGTTATTTTCATTTCTTTACATTCACATTAACTAACAGAAGCATGTCTCCTCAAAAGGAACAAACATTGGATACACCACCTCAAGCATTGGACACACACCATCCGCATAACATCCACTTGAAAAAGAA